GAGGAAAGTTGTTTCTCAGTAACAACATGAATTCAATACTGATTCTACAAAGTTCGATTAACAAAGTCGCGTCAGACATAATTAGCTCAGCAAGAAAGATTAGCTCCATGTCGGTTTAAAATATAATACAACAAAAACTCCGAAAAACATCTTGCTAACTTAAAATAAAAGTATAAGCAAGAAATGACACAAAATGCTTTAATTTATATATTAATATATACAATGAATGTTTTTAAAATGAATGCTTTTATATATTATATGCATGAATTTTCAATATTTTGAATATTAATGTATTGTAAATTATTCTGTTTTTTAGCTTACTTTTAATTTGTAGATACGCAATTTAGCCTCTGGCTGCCCATGTATTTATTGTAATAAGCTATCTATCTATCCAAAGTAAATAAACGTAACATTTCGGTTATTCATTCAAGATCAGTATCAAACGTAAAATACAAGATGGAAAAGCACTGAACTTAAAAAGAGAGCCAGCCAGAAAGGTGTGACTGAATATTAACAAACTAATAATTGTGACAAGAATGTGGAGGAAAGTATAACAAAAATGCTGAAACTCAAATTAAACCCAAAGCTAAAACAACGTGCGCCGAGGCCGAAGGCGGATAACACCCTCCTCGATCTGCATAATTCTTCATATCCTACTCAGCCTCATTCATTAATTACTAAATAAATTATAGAGCTTATCTTTCATGCCAAACTAATAATGTATGACGCGACTTTGTTGATCGGACTTTGTAGAATCAGTATTGAATTCATGTTGTTACTGATATGCCAAAGTTCCCTTTTCCGGTCAGGTCAGTTTACGGCAACAGGACGGCAGGAACAAGAGGACGGCAAAACGCTTGGATAACACCCCCCGAGATCTACTAATTCGTTATATCCTACTCAGCCTCATTCATTAATGGCTAATTGTGCGTGTGCTTTTAGCCGATCAGAAACGTAGAAATATTTTCAATGAACATTAATGGTTTTTATTGACGTCTGCCGTGCCAAGACGTCGCAGGGGGCATGAAATCTTTAATTATAAAAATTCCTGATCAGGTAGCATTTGCGATATTGAGCAGTTGATACTATAGAAGCTACTTAACTGAATACCGAACACAGTACTACTGTAAAGAGGTCAGCAAACATGAACTCAAAAACAGGGAATGGATCGATCGAGTCTTCAAGCTGCTTAAGTACAACAGCGTACAAAATCGGAGGGACCGTTGCTTTGAGTCTGATCCTTGCTGTTTCGCTGATGGCAAATTCTTTCATTGCACTGATCGTTTATAAGACGCCAACCTTAAGAAAACCGATAAATTATTTCATCGCAAACATGGCCATGTCCGATCTGTTGTATTCAATGTTCTGGATCCCCTTTGCCCTCTCAGCGTTGCACACAGCCTCATGGCCTATCGGTGGTAAGTTTGGTCTGGCCTTGTGTAAGCTTAACCCTTTCTTCAGAAACGTTTCCATTATCGTTTCAATTCAGAATCTGATTCTGATAGCAGTGAATCGATTTGGAGCCGTGGTATTTCCACTCCGTTCCCCACTCATCAAATCCAAGCTGTGTCCCTTCTTCATTTCCGCCACGTGGATAGTCGCAGCAGCTATCTTTTCGCCATATTTGTTCGCCTACCAACTCGTTGAATTTTCAGGGGAAATGTGGTGCCTGCCGAGATGGAAGAAAGCATTCGGAGAGTCCTCGTCCTTTGCCGACTACGTAGTAACAGACCCTATTCTGTTTACATACATCCCTTTGGTGTTGCTGGTCCTTCTTTACTCCATCATCCTTATCAAGGTCAAGATACAGGCACACCCAGGTGAACAGTCCGCAAACACTCAGCAACAGAGAAACAGACGAAACAGAAACGTGTTTCAAATGTCCACTGCTATCGTATTAGTGTTTTTTTTTGCTGGTTACCTTTTAAAACTATCATTTTAGTCATACGGTATAGTTCCGTGGATCTTTCTTGTGGTTTCTTTCTATACTTCGAAGTCACCTATTATATGTCTTCTGGGTACTTTGCTATCAACCCGATTATTTGCTTTGTTTTTAGCAGTAATTACCGACAAGCTCTTAAAAGACTCATGAACTGTTCGTAACTGTTATGTTGTACAGGCGTAAGTCGCAAAAATTTGCTTGTGGATGAATATGTTAAGAGTTGGAGGTTCGTTGAACACTGGCAAATGGAAACTATGTATCCCTTAGTGTACTGTAAGGAGTTTAATAAAATCTGTTAATTGTATGTCTGTCCTGACTTCGAAAATTGACGGCATGTATGGCTCAAATGTAATGTGTTTCTATGGCAAACTAGACTCAGAATATATACTTATACTTATCTGATGTTGATTTCACGTTCTATTAAGTTTCAGAGCGATTTGAGCGGCGGTGGAATCATCTGACCTCACATGCAGTGTAGCAATTACTGAGAAGGCAAAAAGAACTGTTCGCCAACTAGACGACAAACCAACTAGATAGATCCAAATTTCAAGCGAAAAACCTGGTGGATTCACTTTCCTTGCCAAAATTTAAAAGCGCTCCCTCGTGATGACTCTTCTGCAATGCGTTTTAATAAACTTTGCGTTTGAATGCATTCGAAAAGGTCGACCACTCTTAGCGGATCCTTTAAAGAACAGCTTAACTCTCTCTTGCAAAAACTTTTGTTAAAAGGCCCGGTCCAGGCGTCGAACTTTTCATGAGTCAAACCTAATTCGAATTAAGGCCGACCCAAATTATTTAGACCGGCTGAATTCTGATTCAGACGCCGAACAGACTCGTACCCAGTCGTCACGGTACGAGTCTGGATGCCGAACTTAACTCCAAACTCCGGTCTAAACTGCTTGCAAAATACGTTATGATACTGAATTTATGCTTAAGTTCGACACACGAAATGTTTGGGCCTAACAAGCAGCCAGAGGCAGGTTTCTTAATTTAGAATTGAATTTTGCCTTCTTCATTAAAAATAAAGGCAAACTCCGGGCTGAAAAAATAGATTTAGGTAAGGAGTTGGTGAAAGAAGGCAAGCAATAGTGTGGGAGTATTATTTAATTTCAAACGTATGTTTACCTTGCGAAAAATTAAAGAAAAGAAGAGCTATATGTCCGGACGATGCGGCGCCAAGAAAATGAGGCGATATACTATATATACACAAACGAATCTGGTTTCTAGCTCTCAGTCAGTCGAAAAGGGTAAAAGACAAAAAAATAACCACCGAATAAACGCGGGACATAACACGAAGACATGCAGTGGACGGGTGGAAGAAGGTTATAAACATGTAAGCATTTTCCACGGTGTGGCGAACTGATACATATTGGGACTCATCATTCAATCGCAATCCAGTTGTCTTTAAAATAGCTATCGGCTATCGCTAATTTAGGGCAAAGTGTTACTAACCTTTTACACAAAAACAGCTAGTTAAACTGTGTTGCCCCTTTGAAATGCTTTTATAGTAAAATATAACCTAAGCACGTAATGCTTTTCAAATGCCTTTCAATCGATTTAATCGATACAAGCATATCTGACTAAAATGAGGTGTTTACTCAAGTTATATGTTATTCTTCTTTCCCTTGTGGTTTCCGAGTCCATTAATGGCTATATTGCAAGCGGTTTGTCCTCTCGATAATCCTTTCAATAAAACGCATGAAACCGCCATTGAGGTGGACCGAACCTATATATTTATATGCGCGTTGATTATCTTTTTGAATCGGAAGACAGATTTTTCTCTAACGTCAGCAAATAAGCCTCAGAGCTCTCTAGCTTTATATCTTCAAGTTTGAAGTCAATGGTGACCGTAGAACTCGCTGCACAAATAGCTGGTCAAATTTAACCTTAAAATACAACGCTAACACATTTGTGAAAGTTGACGCACAAATAGGGGAAAACTGCGGACGGACTATCTCCCATCTGCAAGGGTATTCTGGCCCAAAGCGTTAGTTGCAAGAAACTGAGTAATCAGGAACTTACGGCGAATGCAGTTCGCAATACAAGAAGAAGAACTTTATGCTGAATGCGGGGCAAGATAAAAGAACTTCCATTCATCAAACTTATTTTGTATTTGTCCCTCTCTTTTTCAAACCTATCATAACGAGGCAAAATATTAAGCATCTATGAAAAACTCTCAAGAGTTTTTAGCGTCGCGAGTTTCCAATTAATTTGAAGATAAATATAGCCACCAACTCCAGTACTTCTAAACATCAATTTTTCAGCTGCACTGAATTGAAAGCCCTTGTACTTGGTAATTTATTCAAGGTCAAGCTTTTTTAGACTTGACATCACATTCGCATGGGAACTTTATTGCCGTTTGGGGATGAAGATGAAGAAAAAGATGACAATCGTCTTATTCTTTTCATTATCCCCGGTAGCGAACTGCCCGTGCGTATGTGATGGCAAATCTTACAAACTTGAATAACTTACCTAATACAAGGGTTTTCGTTGCAGCTGAAAATCGATCGGTTGAAGTACTGGAGTTGGTGGCATTTTTTTTCCTCAAGACTGGAACCTTCAAGTGGTAACAACCTGTTAAGCAAGCCGAACCACCAAAGTAATTATAAGGCAAGAGGTTCTGCGAAGGAAAAAATTCATGAAAATTAAAAACATCCATGGAGATTTTACCTGTACCCCGAGGTTTAACTTAAATATTGTGGTTACATTTTTGTAGTTTTTCTTTGGGCACTTCCGCTGTTCATCTACCGTTGCGAATTCCGTGTTCCTCAAGATATTAGTAATTAACCTGGCAAGGTGTTACTAACTGCCTTTTAAACAAAAACACGTTTAACTACTATTAAGCGCTAAAGAAATGCTTATCTATTTATTTTGATGCTTGATAAATTTTGACTGCCTGTGTTTAAATGCAATGACAAATTGAATACTTAGTTAACGAGTGTATTTCCTCACTTCCCGGCACTTGTGTGAAATGTGCCTTAAGCACGTATTCAGCTTTCTTTGAAGTGTCTTTCAGTCCATTTAATCGATACAACCACGTACAACCGGACGAAAATAAGATGTTGACATAAGTTGTGTTTCTTCGCCTTTGTAAAATGACTATTACACGGGTTAATTACAACAGGTTTGTTAACCTAATCTTCATTAAGGTTATGCAAAATCTGTCGAAATGGATAAAAGGAACGCCTTAAAATTAAGTAAAGATCGCCTTTGGGAGTGTCCTCCTTAACTGAACTCAGGATGCGTTTTAATGCGAAACTTCTGTGTCTTTATTGACCCAAACAAGGAAAAAACCAGCTCCTTTTCAAGTGAGTTAGTAATACATTAAGAATCACCTGACCGGAAGAGGAAAGTTGTTTCTCAGTAACAACATGAATTCAATACTGATTCTACAAAGTTCGATTAACAAAGTCGCGTCAGACATAATTAGCTCAGCAAGAAAGATTAGCTCCATGTCGGTTTAAAATATAATACAAAAACAACTCCGAAAAACATCTTGCTAACTCAAAATATAAGTATAAGCAAGAAATGACACAAAATGCTTTAATTTATATATTAATATATAAAATGAATGCTTTTAAAATGAATGCTTTTATATATTATATGCAGCAATTGGAAAAGCAGAACTGACGCTGGATGAAACTTGCTGAGAACCTTGAGCCACCCGTTTTCTTGCAATCATTTCCTTGCAGAATGCCTGTACATAAAATTACAGTAATAATAATTATTCTAGTAAGTAAAAAGCACCAAACTGATAGAGTTCCAATTTAAACTACATGTATTACATAGGCGCATACCAACCGATGATTTCTTACTCAAAATAGGACGAAAAGAGAATGACAACTGTACCTTTTGCAACAATTCCTCAGAGACGCCAATTCGTCTTTTTTGGTCTTGCCATGTTACATCCTCTTTTTGGAAAAGTGTAACTGACTGGCTTGAAAACGCTCTTCCGTTAATTAGCAAATACAACTTATTGAACATACTGCACTGGGCTTGAGGCAGGAGCCTCATTCTACCAAATACTCGTGTCGATTAAACTATTTTCTCCTGTTAGCGCGGTTTCATATTTGGCAAGCCAAAATGGATGAAATATCGCCTAATTTTGCAAATTTTTTACGCCTGGTTACGTCAAGATCTATTATAGAGAAAAAAACAGGGGACACTAAAAAATGGAACTTTCTTACAGATTGCTCTTCATGTAGCTCTTGATATCGATTGTTTCCTTTCCCGGACGGTCAAATACCAAACAATATTTTGAAAGAATTGTATAATCTTGTATTTAACTGGATATATCTGACTGATAGTACAGAATCAACGTTTGTTTATTGCTCCTGTATTTTTAGGTAGTCGAACTGTACTTTCTTTTAACCTTTTTTTGTTTGTTTTTGTTTGTGTTGTAATTTAGTTATTATTAATAAAATAAAATTCAAATAAGGCAAAAAAAATCCAGGCTAAACAAAAAGCCTAGGTAAAAAGAGCTGTTGAAAGAAGGCTAAGCAATAGATCGTGAGAATGTATTATTTCATGTTTAGCTCGCGAAGAATTATAGGAAAGAAAAACTTAGTGTCCGGACGATAAGGCGTCCAGAAAATGAGGCGAGATACTGTATATACACACGAATCTGGTTTCCAGCTCAGGCTCTCAGATGGTCGAAAAGAGTAAATACCAAAAAATTCAAAAAAATAAACGCCAAACCGATAAACACGCGACAATAAGACATGCAGTGGAAGGTTGGAACTGAATGGTTAAAAAAATTCTAACCATTTTCGTTGGGGTTGCGAAACTGATACGTATGGAACTTAGAAAAAAAAAGGAAAAAAAAAAAAAAGGCGCCAAATGATAACTGGCCATGAATCATACTTTATCAGAATATTCATTGTCATTTGCCATTTAATTTTCAATCCAAATTAAAAATGGAAAAAAGAGTCAATTCTTCTTTACGTTTCTCTTAGGAAAACTGTTGTCACACTGGGTAATCGAGGATTTCGTGGTTTGAGAAGACAGTTCAAAACGTCTCGGTTTTTTTGCCGAATTAAATTTATCAATCATCCTAGTGTTAAATACATCCAAGACGTGAGGAGAATAAGGCCTTTCAGTTTTATTTAAACGGTGTTAACAGATTTGAACTTACAGGAATTCTTTACGAATTCGTACGTATTATCTTCCAAGCATTTATAACTTTTCTCAAGTTAAAATGTCTTTGAGAGATTTTCCTCTTATTTCCGATGAAAGAGGAAGATCTTGTCAAATGGCAGGATGATTCCTAGTTTTGATGATTATCTTTCTAATGCAACCAGCCTTTCATCGGCATGGCCTTTTTGTAAGTCGTAAAGGTTTGTTATTGCGGCGTGATCACATTTGTTTGGGGAGGTAAAAAGTTATTGGTAGTAAATTTTGACGACACATCTAACAAGTTATTTCCCAGTATGACAGACATACACTCACAATTCTTTGTATGAGTAATTTCCGTTTTATATGATCGTTTACGTACAGCTACGGGTTGACTAAAAATGCATGGATCGAAGCAAAAACTTTCGCAAACTTTTCATCAGTTTCAACATTAAAAGGCTTTCAAGCCGTATTCCAGCATTGCCAGTTACCTTTGTCATAAACGTTCAGCAGTAACAAACAATTTTTTTTCAGTTTGGGAGGACGCCAATTTGAATATGCATTATGCATAATTAATAAAGAGAAGCCGCTAATTTCTAGTTAAGAGTGCAAAAGATAAAGGGAAAATTGCCATCTTCTAAAGCGGCGTCAAATTGACGACTCTTGGCTACTACGGGATTTTGAATAAAACATTCAGATGATTTCAGCAACAGTTTGTAATTAATGTTAAACGAATTGGGGGCTCAACCTTTAATAAACTATTAAACACCAAACTGTTAAACAAGTCGAACTGCCCGAGTAAGGCAAGGGGTTCTGCGAAGAAAAATCCATCTTGAAAATGAAAAACACCCAGAGAGATTTTACCTCCGCTCCTTGTATTTTGCGCTTTTCATCTACCGTTGCCAATTCTTTCCAAATCAGTAATTAACTTGAGCAAGGTGTTACTAACTGCCTTATACATATTAAAAACAGTTTAACTATTATTGCCCCAAAGAAATGCTTTTCTATTTATAGTTGCTTGATAAATTTTGACTACCTGAGTGTGTTTAAATGACAAATTAACTGTATTTCCTCACTTCCCGGCACCTGTGTAAAATGTGCCCTTGGCACGTATTGCTTTTGAAATGTCTTTCAGTCGACTTAATCGATACAACCACAACCGGGGACCAAAATGAGGTGTTTACACATTAAGTAATGTTTCTTCTGTCCTTTGTGGCTCCCAAGCTGATTAATGACTATTTTACGGGTTCGACCGGTTTGTTCACTCTATAATCCTTTCAATAAAACGCATAAATTCGCCATTAAACGGCTCGAGAACCACAAAGGAAAGAAGAAACAAACAGCTTAGGTTAGTTTCTCATGCCAGTGGGACAGAACAGCAAACACAAGAACGCCGACTGTAAATCTTCGCAGGAGAAGATTTGACACCGAAAAATCCTCTGGAGCGAGAACGCCGACTTCAAATTCAACGCGAGCAACGAAGAGGAAGAAGATAGTAACAAACAATAGAGTAGAGACACTGCAGAGAAAACATCACTCAACGAATTTTGAATGCTAAAGTACTTTTAAGAGCAAATAGAAGATTTTGTTAGTTTTAAATGTGATGAAATGCGTTTACGTTGGGTCTTCACCGTCCAAATAGCAGTCATTGTCGTCTGAAAAATATCTTTGAATTCATATTTAATAGGGCTCAATCAACTTTATACAGATCGTGCTAGAAGAAGTTCCAGGGAAAAGGATTTAAACTGCCTCGTACTCAGACGTTTCCCTCTCGATGAAAATGTGCGCGAAAAGGAAGGCGGGAAAGAGACAACGGGCGAGACGGCGCTTCGCCTGCCGTCTGTACCCTTCCCATGGTCCCTTGCGGTTCATCACCAGTCACTCGCGTTTTGCGCTCGCCTCTACGATGAGAAAAACGAAGCGCCTGAGGAGGAGGCTGGGATTTGAAAAATATATTTTCGACGACTTCACCAGTGTGTCTCACGTAGCGTAAAGGTAACGATATAGACCGGCGAGTCGATGGTTCCGAGTTCGTTTTCGGTCAGAACCTTTTTCTCTTCGCTTCTTTTCTTATCTTTTTTTTTTTTTCTCGTTTACTTTCTCTTTAGTTATTGCAGTTTTTTTGTTTCTTTATATGGCTTAAAATTTTTAGATTTATAAATTTTCTTCTCTATTGCGTTATGTTGCCCGTTCCCCCGAGGTCCTTCGCGAGGTCCTGCGACTTATGTATTTCTAGTATAGTTTATAATGTTTGTCACGAAGACACTAACAGAATAACAGAAAAGTGAAATGTGGCTATTTGAGTTTCAATGTGATTGGTAGCTCGAAAGTGCTAATTGGGAACACTATTAACTGGAGACGGGATCGCCACTAGTTTTATTTGGTCATATGAGCCAGCCCTTTCAGGACAAAGGTAGTACCTTCATTTTTTCAGTTTTTTTAAGACCCTCAGGTATTATTCCGGTCCCGGGAATCGAACACGCGACCACCCGCTTAAGTATCACTCAAGCGCTCTACCGACTAAGATAATCCTGCTGCGGTACTTTCATTCTCCATTGTTGGGAGTACTTGTAACCATGTTGTAACTTAGTAGAAATGCAGGATATCAATTGAGTTGTCCTATTAATTCACCTGCCCGAAGCCGTTACGTTGCATCAAATACTTGTTATCATTTTACCAAAAGCCCAATGAAAGCATCACCAGTTTGAAACTATGACTTTTATAGACATTTTGTCGCTGGTTAACATTTTGGCTTCCTCTTTTTTTATACTACTACATGAGAAATTTCTGCAACTTGATTGGCAGCAGTGCTATTTCAGCTTAATTTGAAATACCTACATGTGAAAATTACCTATGTTAATCTCATAGCCGAAGATTAAATTTCACGCAACTGTAATTTTAAAAAATTGCTTTGGAACACGCATCGTTTCAGTTTGCTCCTTTGCAAAACAGTCATTAATATAATAGAACCTTCCACGGTTTTTTTTCAACTTTTTACTCTGACCAGCTGGCGAAAACTCGTCAACACGGCAAAAAAAACGCCTTAAAATTAGTAAAGATGCCTTTGGGTGTGTTTATCAGTTTAACTGAACTCAGGATGTGTTTATTGAGCAACCGAACAGTGTCTTTATTGAACTACACAAGAAAAAAAAAGTGAACTTACGCAACAGGACGGGAGAGGGAGGAAAACGGCAAACCCTGTGTGACAAGCGTGACAATAATTTTGCTTGAAAAAACATTCCGCAAAACTTCAGCTTCCTTTTAACAGATCTTTTTGTAAAAGACCAGAAAACATTAATGTCAATCACGACAAAACACGCGATTAATAGCCCTGTCACGTTTGTCACACACAAACGTTTTGCCGTCCTCTTCTTTCTGCCGTCCATTGATACTCTAAGAATCACCTGACCGGAACAGGGAAGTTGTTTAGGCTTATCAGTAATAGCATGAATTCAAAACCGATCCTACAAAGTTCGGTTAACAACGACGCGTCATACATAATCAGCTCAGTCTAAGCTCTAAAATTTATTGGTATTTATTGACGTCTGTGGTGCCAAGACTTTGCAGGGGGCGCGGGCCTGTTACAGACGTTTGTACAATGAGAGGGGACAAGTTCAATTAGTTCAAGTCCCCAACCACACAAACGAGTGTAAAATTTCGCGATTTTCTGGAGCAAGTCTTCTCTCGCTCTGAACCTATCACCTTTAAAATTGGTAAGTTTCCTAATTTTAAGCCGCTCTTTCCAGCAGGATCAATGGATCCGATTCGCTAATTTGTGGTTAGCAAAACTTGAAAAACAGCGGGAAAGGGTCTATCACCTGATCGGAACAGGGAAGTCCTTTAGACTTATCAGTATCAACATGAATTCAATACTGATTCTACAAAGTTCAGTTAACAACGTCGCGTCATACATCATCAGCTCAGCATGAAAGATAAGCTCTATAATTGATTGGTTTTTATTGACGTCTGCGGTGCCAAGACTTCGCAGGGGGCATGAAATTTTTAAAGTTCTTAATCAGGTAGTATTTGCAATATTAAGCTGTTGATATTATAGTAGCTACTTAACTGAATGTGGAGCACAGTGCTGTAAAGAGGTCAGCAAACATGAACTCAACAACAGGGAATGGATCGATCGAGTCTCTAAGCTGCTTTAGTGCAAAAGCCTACAAGATTGGAATGACCACTGCTTTGAGTCTGATCCTTGCTGTTTCGCTGATGGCAAATTGTTTCATTGTAATGATCGTTTATAAAACGCCGGTCTTAAGAAAACCGATAAATTATTTCATCGCATGCATGGCCATATCCGATCTGCTGTATTCAATATTCTGGATCCCCTTATACCTGTCATCATTGCTCAATTCGTGGCGTATCGATGGTCAGTTTGGCCAGGCCTTGTGCAAGCTTGTCCCTTTCTTTGGTGACGTTTCCTTTGTCGTTTCGATTCAGAATCTGGTTCTGATAGCCGTGGATCGATTCGGAGCCGTAGTGTTTCCACTCCGTTCCCCACTCATCAGATCCAAGCTGTGTCCCTTCTTCATTTCCGCGATGTGGATAGTCGCAGGGGCTGTCTCTTCACCACATTTGTTCACCTTCCAACTCGTTGAACACTCAGGGGAAATTCGGTGCCAGAGGAGATGGAAGAAAGCATTTGGAGAGTCCTCATCCCTTACCGACTTCCTATTACCATACTGTGTTCTGCTTATATTCATCCCTGTGATGTTATTAGTCATTCTTTACTCCATCATCCTTGTCAAGCTCAAGACACGGGCACACCCATGTCAGTCTGTGAACACTCAGCAACACAGGAAAAGACAAAACAGAAACGTGCTTCAAATGTCCATTGCTATCGTATTAGTGTTTGTTTCTTGTTGGTTACCCTTTTATACCAACCTTTTTGTGATAGAGTATAGTTCAGTGCAGTCTTGTGCCTTTTTGCTATACTTTGATGTCGCCGTTGTTATGACTGTCGCGTACTGTGCTATCAACCCGATTACCTGTTTTATATTCAGTACTAATTACCGACAAGGTCTTAAAAGACTCATGAATTGTTCTTAACTGTTGTACAGGCGTAAGTCGCAAAAACCTACTCGTGAATAAATATGTTAAGGGTCAGTGAGGTTCGTGTAACTCTAGCAGATGAAAAACTATCCTGTTAGTATACTGTAGGGAGGTTGGCAAAATGTGTTCATTGTACATATGTATATGTCTTTCCCGACTTCGAGAAGTGACTGCAAGTGTAACCCAAGCGTAATGTTTGTAAGGCAAAGGCCGCTAAGAATGAATAAATAAATAAATGATTAATTACACTTATCTGATGTTGATTTCTCTTCCTATTTATTAGTTTCAGAGCAATTTGAGCGGCGGTGTCATCATCTGACCGCAAACGAATGCAGCTGTGGCAATACAGAGAAAGATAGCAAGGATGCTCCAAAGACCTGGCACATATACACTTTCCTCGCCAAAATCACAAGAAAACTCGAGATGAGACTTCTGCAATCCATTTCAATCAACTTTGCGTTTAAATGCATTAAAAAAGATTGAATATTCTGAGATCCTCAAAAACAGCTCATTCTCTCTTACAAAAAAAATTCTGTTTTTTAGCTCTCATTTCTCGTAACTTTAAGATCCCTTGTTAGTCGTTAGGACGTGTTTTCTTTTCTTTTTCCTCCTCTTCTTTTAACACTCAGCCAGGGGCGAGTTTCTTAAGAATTGAATTTTACCTTCTTTATTAAAAGTGAAGGCAGAACTCCCGGCTAAACAAATAGATTTAGCTAAAAGGAGCTGGTGAAAGAAGGCCAAGCAACAGTTCTGGGAAAATGTATTATATCAAAAGTATGTTTTGTTTGCGAAGCATTAAGGGGTAGAAAAGCTAAGAAAGTGATGCGAGATACTGTACAATACACACACACGAATCTTTCCAGCTCTCAGATAGTCAAAAAAAATAAAAGCCAAAAAAATATATAAAAAGGCCGAATAAACGCGCGACACGAAGACAGTGAAAGGGTGGGGAAAGTGCTAGAAACATACTAACCATTTTCGTTGGTATGGCGGACTGCAGTACGTATTAATTAGGACTATATAGACACAACAACACCAAATGAGAACCATATGAACCATATGGGGGATGATTATTAAAAATGTTGACAGACCAACAGGACTCCCGTAAAATTAGTACGTAATTCCTTGTATGAGTAATTTCCGTTTTCTATCGGAGTGTACTATGACTAAAAATCTTACGTAACCTAGGTTTGAGGCAATAAAATCTTTCGCAAACTTTTTCTCTTTTTCAGCGTTAAACTGAAAGGCATTCTAGCATGCCCTGAGTTGCCTTTGTCGTAAATTTTCAGTAGTAACAAACCATTTTTTTTTTCAGTTAAGGAAGACGCCAATTTGAATGTACATCAAGCATGATAAAAGAAGAGCCGCCAATTTCAAGAGTGCACAAGGAACAGGGAAAATTGTCCTTCTTCTAAGCTCTAGGTTACAAAATTTGGAACCAAACATTCAGTTATTTTCAGCTAAAGTTTTTAAACGAAAATTGGGGACTCAACCTTTACTTAAAGGGCGAGTCACTTCTTTGTTTTCATGGTAACAAACTGTTAAACAAGCCGAACAGCCAAAGAAAGGCATAGATCGAGAGCGTCTGCGGAAAAAAAAATTATTGAAAATTAAACAAAAAAAAAACAAGAAAAAACTGTACGTTTTTTTTGGCACATGCGACTTTCATCTATAGTTCGTTCCAAAATTAAAAGTTATCAACAATTAAGGGCAAGGTGTTATTAACCTTGTACACAAAAACAGTTCAACTATATTACCCCTTTGAAATGCTGTTAAATAACAAATTGAATACTATTTCCTCACTTCCCGGCACCTATGTAAAGAGTGTTCTATTAAAGGACGTATTGTTATTCAAATGTCTTTCAATCGATTTAATTGGTACAATCACACCTGACCAAAATGACTTTTTTACTCATGTTGTGTGTTTCCTCTTTATTTTGTGGTTCCCGAGTCAATTTATGGCTATTTTTCATGGGTTTTATGGCAACCAGTTTGCGCTCTCTTATCCTTTCAATAAATCCATAAAATGGCCATTAATCGGCTCGAGAAACAAAAAGGAAAGAAGGAAACACACAACTTGAATGACATTAGTCAACTTTCAAAGATATTGTGAGAAACAAGTCGGTCACAAATTTCTATTGTTTACTGAAACTCCTGGAGATCAAAGAGAAGACGCGCTTTCGTTCTCCTAAGTGAAGCCACAAGTCTACAAAATTGTCCAGGAGAAGAGTAGACTTGCCGCAAGTCGACTTCACGAGTTTCAAAGCGAGCGGAGCGCGCTTTTTAGGCCTCGAAGCGGCCGAGCGAGCGACGAAGCCGGGAGAGGTCTCGCGCAATATTAAATCATCCCTGGCAATATTAAATCAGACGAAGAGCTTTTTTAAAAGGTCTAGGAAAAGAGTTTTTGAAGGAATATCACCTGAGAAGCTAAACGGGGATAAAAACTCAAATTCCGAAGAAGTCAGGGTCACTCGTATAGTGACATGGTTCTTGTTACATGTTTGAAAAGTAAACTAGATGAGAGAGACCTCCAACTTATAAATCTTGAGAAAGCCGCCTGTCCGAAATGTTACCTCCTCTTAAACAGATAAAAAGTGTCATCTTTTATTAGGATTTTTATGGCTAAAAAGTTAAATTTACGTGAAAGGTCTCCACCCACTTTTCCTCATTTAAAATCTAGCAGATCGCCACCATTGTGGTGTGAGGTACCCTTCTGGCAAAGGAATTTTCTGATCCTTGATGCATTTTTCCAGAAAGATCTTTAATCTACTAACGGGTCCACTCTGTTCCTTTGCGGTAACTTTCTCAATCTTGGGTACATAGTCTAACACCAAGGTGTTGAGTAGCTTGCCAAACTGTTTCTTGTACTGTTTCATCAGTGCGTGCCCTGCAATGGATAAAAATTCATAAAGAGCCGTAGCAGTGTAGTCTGGTCGTGGTTCTAAGTTCAACATTCTTGCCAACCAAGTCCATCCCTTTTCAGGCCCATGGGGGTGTGGTTGTGATTGTCCCGGTGGGGGTAGGGAGGAGATAATTGCCGCATACAGGCGGACAATTCCAGTCATGCGCTTGAGGTACTTGTCTTTTTGTTCAACCTGACCATCTGAACACAGATAGCCAAGAGTAGCAAAGTACTCTGCATCTGTCATCCCAGCCGCCTTAGGGATATAAAATGGTACCAGGAATGGGCACTCCTCGTAGAACCTCATTAGAATAAGATCACCAACATCAGGAAAACTGGACCACACCCCTATGGCAACTGCAGCAATTGGAAAAGCAGAACTGACGCTGGATGAAACTTGCTGAGAACCTTGAGCCACCAGTTTTCTTGCAATCATTTCCTTGCAGTATGCCTGTACATAAAATTACAATAATAATAATTATTCTAGTAAACAATGGAACAGAACGTTATAGGGTACTTTTTATTGGGGGTCAATTTCATAGAATTTTTCAGGGCTGTCACTGAGATTTCAAGTTGTCGGGAATATGCAATTGTTTTGGGAGTAATGGGCCCTGTGCATGAAATGGTCACAAGGTACAAAAACACTTTGCTGAATGGCAGACGACACAGAGGGGCAAGAAAAACAAAAGTGAATATACAAGGCTGTCATTTACAGGTGGGGGCTGGGGATTTCTCCCAGCTACTAAGAATGAGGCCCATGGCTACTTTCATAAGAAAACAGAAGAAAAATAGAACCAAAATAAATTTTGGACAATTCATGCAATTTAAATGCCTGTATAGATAAAATAATTTATCCCAGTACATCACTTGTCACAGTTGCCTCAGAGATTTTATAGTTTACAAAGTTTGTTACTATTGCAGACACTCACAGAGACAAGCCATAACTGCGGCTATTTAAAGAAGACAACAGAAAACAGATGTCTCCATTACTTTTCGATTTTTCAGTGGATACTGCTTTCAGTCAGTAAAATTAATTTCTCTCAATTTTCCTACAAAGTGGGATGCATGTCCTTCTTTGGAGAATTTCTTGAATTTATACATTTTACTAAGGGTTGCTAAGGGCGCATTCAGGAAATATTATGAGAATGTGCAAAAGTTTCATTGCAGTTCTCTGGATAATTTTTGGGCCGCTTAAATGTTACATACATTGGGACATTATATTAATTTTCATACACTCAGATTTCTAGCTATTGCAAAGCAATAAACACTAAAATGAATGACTTTTAGAGTTCATTCCTTTCATTTTTATTTCGGGATATGGTCAATCGAACATACCCTAATCCTTCGACCTTATCAGTGCTCACAGTCTACTTACCTCAGCCGCTGGATGCACAGAAATGGAGATCTCTTTACGTCCAACTGCAACTGATGCCCTAGAAAGGAATTTAGTCAAGCGCTGTATCTTGTCAAGTATTGACTCTTCAGATATAGAATTGATTGGTGTAGCAACAGCCTTCTGAAGGTCAAATTTTAACTGCTTTAAGGACTTGTCGGTGTTCAACGGTTCAGCTGTCTTTGTTATCTCAGCTTTGTAACTAAGTAATCGTGAATACTCATGCCAAGCCAATTCTGAAATGCAAGAGGTGAGCTCTTTAGACAGACCAGAAGTCTGTTGTTTACCAGAAGTTGTTTGACTAGCTGAAGTAGATATCTGGCTGTTCTGGCGTTCTCTTGCAGCTCTCTCGGCTTTTTCTTTCTCAGCTTTTTCCTTTTCCTTTTTCTCTGCCTCCTCCTTTGCTTTAGCCTGACGCTCAGCTTCTTCTTTCATTGCTTTTACACTGATCTCCTCAACAATGTTTTTAGTCTTTTGAAGCATGGCTTGGATCAGAGAAGAACACTCATGCATAATCTTCTCATTCATCTCAGTAACTTGTCCCTTTTCATTTGCATCATCAAAAGCATTCTGTGAAACTTTCAGGACCTTATCTACCTCTTTAAGCACATCTGTCATTGACGTTGACAATGACGACTGATACTTACATTGCTGAAAAATCTGTTGAATGGTTGAAGCAGTTTCCCTTATACTAGTGAATGACACTTCCAGCTGCATTAGCTGTTTCCTGATCTGTTGTTCTTCTTTAAGAACCTTTAATCTTAAAGCCTCTACTTCTTTTACTTTTCTAACTGCCCGTTGTGCATACTCTTCATGTGACTGTTCAAGTTGTTGCTGACGTTGTCTAGCTTCCTCGCTTTTTCTCGTTTCATCTTCTTGCAGTGCTTGCACAGATTTAATAAATTCCTCAACTCTTTCATTCTCTTTCTCTTGTAAATAATTATCTTTTTCTTCCTGTAATGTTTTAAAATGTTCTATCATCTTCTCTTTTCTTGAACGGAGCCTATCCTGTGCTTGCAGATGCTTTCCTTCTGTGTAATTTTTGATATCAACATGCGTTGTATCGAAGCTTGCCTGTAATTCCTTTTCAAGCAGGTCAGCCTCCCTCGCTTTAATTCTGTCATTTTCTACCGTATGTTCGACACTACTAGAAGCACTATTGATAGAAATAACATCAGATTCTGACTCTTCTATACGCTGCTTTATTCTTGCGCCTCCTGACAAACTAAGTGACTTACTCGTTGGGGAAACTGACGACAACATTTCCTTTGATAAACGTGGTGGTTTAGAAAACTCTTCGAGAGCCTCAATGGTTGGTTTCCAATTCGTATCATATTTAAGTTGACCTTTTGGAAGGGATGCTAAGCCTTGCACGACATTTAATTTCATTGTCCTGCTCGTTGGTGAAGATCCAGTAGTTTGAACATCTCTCCGTAAAAGCACACGAGGGGCCGCCATTTTGATACTCGAACGGACTGGTACCAAAGTAACGGAATTCCCTGCGTTCCAAGGTCGCTACTATTTTTTTAACTGATGTATATTCTTCCGCATAACAATAATTTTGTAGCCCCCCAAAACCTTTTTATTCTTTATCTGAATTTTTCAAATGCTTAGCAAACTGAAGAAAAAAAAAACAGAATATCGGAATTTTGCTTAGTGCATTTTTTAACAGGTAAAAAAATGCCTTTCTCACTTCCCTAACGACTTTTCGTTGACCCGTCTGTGTGGATGCGACTCGGTTGCTAAGTAGAAAAGAAAACCAACAGCCAATCAAAATGAAACCAGAAGCGTCATCGAGAATTAATTTGCGCTGCTGCACATACCGAAACTTGATTCGATCGTTTCTTTGATTTTAAACTGTTTCATAGTGATTTGGAATTGTTAGTGAAATGGAAGCCTCGATCATTAATTCCTGGGTGACTTGGAGGTGACACAGATTAGAATTCAAACTACGCAAGGGTCTTGTTTGTGGCTTGTATTTGAGTCTGTTTGTATGTCAAGTACCAGCTGAATTGAAGACCGCAGACTATTTAAATTTCCATAATGAGTTCGAACTGTCGTTGTATATTTCATTGGAAACATATTATCTTAATTCTTTTATCTATTTGGCATCTACCTTCTACGAGCAGCCAAGGCTATTTTCCAAACCTTGTGGATCTTGCCGTACTTAAGCCCATCAGTTCTTCTTCAACTTGTGGAACAACGTCTAGTAAATATTGTCAGTCTTCGACTAGAGCATCTTCTTTGCAGATTTGCGAAGAAAGAACGTGTAAATTTGATTGTTGTTCAAGCTGCGGCGACAGCAAGCCCGTTGCTAGAGATTTGGCGGAATTTTCAAGCAAGCAAGGTGTCACACAAGACGGTGATCCAAGAAATGGATCAAATGTCAGCTCTTTTCGCTTTCAGGGAAACTCTGTTATATTACCTCTTAGGGTTCCTTCAATAAACTACGTAAACCCTGGATTCACAGTCAGTGTGTGGATTAAACAGAAGGCAAGAAACAAAGGGTAGGTATTAAAGAAAAAGTGAGCTAATTCCTACTTAAACGCCAAAAGAATTGTTTAGCTTAGGGTCGCACATGTGCAAGTGACACAAAATCAACAGGGTACACATTTAATGGTGATGTAATGTATGAAAGAGTACACACTTTTGTATATTGTTTATCGGATCTTCTTACAACAACTTATTGAAATGGACTCGAGCAAGTGTGATCAACATTAAGGTTTACAAGGCAAACAGATTCATAGAGCTCAGAACTATTCATATTTTAAATAGCACTTTGCTAATCAGACATTTTAATGTTTAATCATTGAAGCAGGCCAGAATACTCATATTTATGATTTAAACTTGAGTACTTAGGCCCAATTCTTACACCACACTTTTCATGTTAAACTATTGTACATGTAGGCCTTTCGGCCAGGGACTGGAAGGGGTTTCACTTAATCCGTGAATTGACCGGCAAACAGAGCATGAATCGGGATAAAACTCATGAAATACAGTCTTGATTCGCGAATTTATTATATTCACTGTGACACATGATCCATTAACATTGTAGTTTGTGAATCAAGATTTCTACCAATGAAACAGATGTAAGTAGTGTGACAAGGGTTCAAAGTTAAACCATGTATAAGTGAAAAAACTATTGTTGAGCTTGATTTTATAGCAATAAAATTCATTACCAGTCATCTTTGTAGTCATCAAACAAAAAGCAGAGAAACACCAGTTTGATCACCATACTTTTTGTTTCCTTCTCATCATGGGGTCATTTCATACCAACTCTTGCCTATTATAGTAGTCCAGCAACCACTATTAAGAATCATTGTTGGACTTGAGTTCATCACCTAATCTCGCGATTTGTGAGACCACTCCAAAAGGTAAAGCGACTCGTGGATGTACAGATATTTAACCTGTGGTTCTAGATCCATACACCCCCAGTCCTTCCAGATCCTGTTACCCTTATAGTGGTGATAACGGCTGAGACTCACCCAGACACCAAGTCACCCTTTCCTCAGTGGGCTTATACCTGCCAACTAGCCTATATGCCTTATGGGTGATTTTTAGGCCTTTGGACTAAAGATAGTGATCTCTTGCAT